GGCTTCTTCGTACATTTGCTTGTATTTGGTCCACATATGGGTTGGAAAATCACCAAGCTTTTGCAAGAAGGAATGTGCTGCTGAGGCAGGTCTAGACATTTCAGGAATAAAGGGAAGGATAAATTTTTGCAAATCTAATTGTAGGATTTCTAGGTGGGTTAGATGTTAGACTTGTGACTAAATATTCTCTAGTTTGCATTGTATTAATGACTAGGGAATCATCATATTCACTTATTTCAAATGAAAACTCATCTTCATTTGAATAGCAATTTGAAACTTGATTATTATTTTCAAGAACCTAGTTTGCTTGCTATAAAGCTGCAAATTTTGTTTGTGGATCTTTTACTTGATGTATTAAGGTTTATATCTGTTGTCTTAACACCATTATATTTGACAGATTATAGGTTTTCGGTTGAAGGATGTCTGTTAGACGCTTTGTTTTCATCATCGTGTTTAGATGATTAGTCTAGTGCTACATATGAGCAGAGGCATCAGTGGTATGGTTTTGAACATCGGTTTTTCCTTGAACAACACTTGTTTTTAAGGATTTGATTTCTTAAATTTGTTTTTGAATGTTTAAAACATTTGTATTAATATCCTCTATTGGATATAAAATATTTATTACCGAGTTTAGCATGGATGCTAAATCTTGGTTAGATGGTGACTTTGTAGAGTGTTTAGGAAGATGAAGTGCTTGTATCTCTTTGGTTCAGCACTTATCTTACACGTTTCTTGTATAATTCTAGACATTATGATATTGAAATCTTTCTTCTTTATCTATTTTTTTGTTTATTTTTGCAACGCTTTATATCTTATTTGTTAACTAAGGGTTTGACCATGTTCTCTCCAGCTAAATACGCACTGTCTGATAGTGGCTTTCTGTTTATACTAAGGACTAAAAACCAACAGCACACATGCTACCACACAAACAACTACCGCAATCCTAGCATGCTGCTTTAGAAAGAGAGAGCACAGCCTAATTTTGTTTCCTACCTCTAGGCGTAGTTTGATTAACAAGCAAATATATAGAGCAGAATAGCATGAAATAAACTACATAATGAACACATAAATTGGAGAATGAAAGAAAATTTACTCCATAATTAAATAGAAATACTTATAGAGATTTTATTACAATACAAGACTTCAGGCCGGATGAGGTTATGATACCACTTTTAGCAACAGTATTTAAGAAGAATATTATTACAAGAGGAATATCACACACACTTCTCTCTTGATCTGTTTGAAAACATATATCATGTTTGAAAACATATATCATTTGTAAAAGAAACAAATATTTGAAATTGAACCATACAATTTCTTCTTATGTTGTGAGTGTAACCAAACAGAACAAAGTTTATTTTTCTCTTCAAATCACCTACAGTTCATTCTGTGCATCACTAAGATCCAGAATTTTATCTGTGCAGGTTCTAATCTAAGTCTCTAGACCTTGAATAAGTATATGATTTTCCACAATCCCTTGTTCAGATACAACATCATATCAAGAACTCAGGAAATGCCCGATCAACAGAAACAGACTGACTTGGTGACAATTGGTGATAGTCACTCGCCAAGTAGTGCGCTCTCTTATTGGGGGACATCAACATGAACTCATCCATTACTCCAAACGAGAGTGTTCTTTTGAGTGAATTGAGCACCGAAGAAACCATCTTCGGTGATGAGGCCTGAGTATTTTCACATCCATTGGAAACGATGTTGTCTACGCCTGAGAATTTGCTCGAGTCTGAATCAGAATTCTCACATCCACTGTCACCACCCTCCTCTCGAGAATTAAGAAGTTGCGCTAGAAGTTTGTAATCGCTCCATTCGGAGAAAATGTTATTGTTTGTTTTCAATTCCTCATTTTTCTCTGTTGCAAAGCAATTGATGATGCCTGATATCCCGGACTTCTCTTCTGCTTGTAGGGGAATGTTGCCTTTTTGACGCACTCTACAAAGAACCCAGTCATCCAACTGAAACAAAAGAAAATACAGACAAAAGACAATTAGTAAGAGAAAGAAAGAGAAAATAAATAGAAGGTGACAAAGACATCGACGAAAAGATAACAAGGGGCTTACACGCATGGAACCCCTGTATTTGGGGAATGAAGAAGCATTGGACTCTTCAAGGAGGCGATACTCGTGCATGACCCAATCAGTCTTGATTCCCTTTGGTGGCCGGCCTTTGTAGAACACGAGGTTCTTCTTCACACCGAGGCACTGGGACCCACCAGTCGCAAGGATGGGCTTGTCTGTACCTGTTGCCTTCCAGTATCCAGAGCCTGCTGCCCTATTAGGCCGTGATCCATTAGGATATTTCCGATCCCTTGGGCTGAAGAAGAACCATTCACCTTCGCCGAAGCAGGCTTTGTCTGATGGAATACAAAGATGTTACCGTCACTAAACTGATACAAAGCATTGTACATCATTTTCTAATGCAACTAATTTCGGTTATAAAATGTTCACGCCACATATAGTAGCTAAATGTGACTTTCATCCTCGTCAGCATCACACATGCTTCCAACTATAATTAGACAAATAACTAAAAGTAACATCAATTTTATTCTTATGTGTAATTTTCTTTAGTTATCCACCATTAGCACAACTTAATCAAGATAATTTACCACCATCACTTATTAGATACAAATTGCTCAAGAATTTGTGCTACTCAAGAATTTGTGCTACTTTGTCCATTATTAGACCATCTAGACATAAATAAATAACAACTATCCTTCCGGAAGAAAAGGACTTCTCGATTGACAGAAAGGTAAAGAAGGTACTAAAAAGTTCAGGAGGATATGAGTAATTACCTGGAAGTTCCCAGGGGTTGAACTTGTAAATGTCAATATCGGCAATAATACAGGTGACTGGAGCAAGGGTAGAGGCGAGCTTGTTTCTTAAGTAATGGATAATAAGTTCCTGATCTGTTGGATGAAATCGGAACCCCGGAGGGAAATGAGAGCCACCTACTGCAATACTCTCCATTTGAACAAACTTAATATTAAGAAGACTAAGATGAAGATAAGAAAAAAGATGAAGAAAGTTGCTGGAGAATGGCAACACACTGAGGACTCAGGAGCCTTTTATAGAGAGAGCCGAATGATAGGGTTGTCGGATAAATTAGTTGCAAGGTGTGTCGGGAGATATTGTGACAATCCAATTTCTCGGGTCATTTTCAACTTCTTTGGACTTGGTGATAACAAAGAGAAGCTATGCACGAGTGGACAAATGAAAAACATTGGGTATCCTGACACGGCAGATAACTGGATTTTATGTCCTATAGTCCAATGAACGGTTTTCTTGAGTTGTTAACTAATGTATGGCTCCACAGAGAATTTGGTGATTATATGACTAAGCTGATTTTAGTTGTAAACTATTGACCGCCCTTAATACTAGTCTTGATTGAATCATTGGATAGGCGGTTGATCATAATTAGTCTTAATGTACTACTTTCCGTGCCCAATTACATGAAAGAATGAGGTATGATCGATATGGTTTACAGGTTTGTCCACATATGCGAGGTCAAGTCGTTCTTTTAAACTCTGTGAACCAAAGAAAGGATGGGTCACAACCTCAGTCTGGTATTTTATCTCCAAGAAAGCAGTAATCATCAAGCTAAAGATGACTGCCCAGAAGGCACAATACAGTTAGCAATTGAAAGTTAACAGACCATACATGTAGACCAAACTGGTAATATCACCATGCGGCATTCAAAGTTCATAGTTCTAAGAAACTCTGGCATACATGTACAAGTGAAAACCCTTAACCTCCTAAATGCAAAGCTTTTATCATACCCTAGCGTCTCTTACAGGAATCAGAACTTAGGTTCTTCTTCAAACTTTTCCCTGGGTTGTGAACTGTACTAAGCACCGTGCTGATATTTCTGATAACCACATTATATGCCTAAGGGCCAAGATTAATATCATAGTTTAACTATGATGACATGCATATAACTTCAGAGCAGGGCATGCCTTGCTGTAAACTGTCTCAATTCCTTTGTTGTCTATAGGGCAGGTATTTTCGACTCAATTTATTTTCTAGGTATATGACTCATACAGGTGCGGACCCTACATAACAAACATATCTAGTAAACATATAATAAAGAGCCGCATTCCTCCGTATCCTTAGCCAATTTAGTAGAATTTACCCAAAACACTGATCCTCTTGTGTTAAAAAAAGAGAGAAACATACAATTCCTCCCCATATCCAACAGCTGTATAACATGTGTGCAAAAAACAAGAGGAAGATGCGTGTCATTTTCTTGCAGTTCGACGACTCCAAAGGGAAGGGACTCAGAAAATATCTACCAATAATAATTCAACATTTTTACGCTGAACTTATAAGCAAGGAAGATTCTATCAGCCGGCAGATTAAACTATGGACAAAGCATATCACGAGATGAATAAGTCAATTCCGCACCTTATAATTGACCATTTTATGTAGCTTCTTTGAGGGTTTGTAGAAGACAAATTGTGTTTCCACAACACCAACATATTGATCCTCAGTGTTTTAAGGTGGCTCAGGGCGGAGCAAGCTTTGAAGTGTACATTGCGATATTTGGTCTCCATGTTGGTTTTCGATTGTATCCTCAAACCTCGGAACAAGTAGAAATTTCTCTAAGTCCTCAGTTTAGGCGAACTTGGCATGCAAGCGAACTTGCAGTTCAGGCGAGCCTGCAGTGAAGGCGAACTTACAGTTCAGGCGAACCTACAGTTTAGGTGAACCTACAGTGAAGGCGAACTTGCAGTTCAGACGAACCTGCAGTTCAGACGAACTTGCAGTTCAAGCGAACGTATAAGTCGGGCGAGCTTCGCAGAAAAACGAGCTTCGCAGATAGACGAGTTTCGCAGACAGGCAAGTTTCGCAGACAGACGAGGTTCGCAGTCAAAACAGATTCCTAATCTGTTTTGACCTAGGTTTCCCTATAAATAGGTAACCCTGGTCACTGTTTTTCATGTGATTTTTTCAGAGAACGTTGTTTTGAACAAAGAGATCTCAGGGAGATTGAGATCATCTCTTTGCAAGCTTTTGTAATCTTTTTCAATAATTAAAGAAGTTTTTGGTGTGGCTCCCGAGGACGTAGGCACGTTTGCCGAACCTCGTTAAATCTGGTGTTCTCTCTTCTACTTTTTATTTCTTTGCAAAGTTTTCTTTTATTTGTTGTGATTTCTTCTTGCCTTCTTTCAACACAAGATCCGGAAGGCACGTTCCGCGAGAGGGTTCATTTGACAGGTTGTCGATAGGACGAATCCCCAATAATCTCCAAGACGACTGACCTTGACGAAATAACATACGGGTGTTAATGCCTTGAACATAACATCCTATTATATAAATAAGATGTAGGAGTAGGACTTTTTTTCCCCATAGATGTATCATTCATATGATTGTCTTCTGTATGCACCTAAAATATATATTTGATATATATATGACGGCAAGCAACAAGCGAACAGATAATTCGTGAATTGGGATATCACAAATGCGGACACAGATACATGTCAATTGTGTGTGTACAAAAAACCAATCAAAATTTCCGTAAGGAAAAAAAACCAATAAAAAATTGATTGGTAAGGAGTAGTGCATCATTTATCAAAAGAAAACCAACATAAAAACTGTTGGAATGTAAAATTATAAACCTCAACCGGTCACCTCAACTTCAGACAGCTGAAAGACTATTTAACATGATACCAGAGCAAACCTCAATCTGCAGGGACATGATAGAATGTGGAAACATTACCCTAGTACATCAAATCCTTGACAAGAAATTAGGGATAAGTATCTGTACGGAGCGAAAAACTTCTGTGAGCTCAATTTTTATGGGCTCAGCCCAGAAAACTGGCTAGCCGACATGCCAAATTAACAGCCAAAAATTGTGATAGCACAGATTGGCGCGATTCGAGTGCCAAAAGCATGGACTTTGATGAGCGGGCAACTGGAATTATTCCTTCCCATTCTTCTCCTTCTTTTTCGCACAGTCAGACCATAAAACCCTAACCGCTGCCTCAATGATCATTGCTCTTCATTGGCCGGCATGTCGGGTTTATGTGGGACCCGTGAGGTCTATGAGGCTGGTGTACCGCGACGACAATGTAAATTTCCGGTGACTCGGAGGCCGTTGTTAGAGCCCCCGTCGGCGTCGTCTCCTTCTGCCAACGCGATCGCCATGGAAAGAGGGTCGCCTTGGAGACTTCGGCTGAGGTTTGGCTTCTTGAAAAACTCATCTAAAAGGGCATCCGGATTCTTGAAAATTTTGTTAGTTTTATCATTTGTGAATTACCAGTGATTTAAGTTGCAAGTTTGGTTGTCTTGTTTAGAATTACAATGTGGAAGGCATCAATTTGATTGGTTGATGATTATATTTAAGGAACGCTCAAATTGGTATGATTAAAAGAAGCGTAGTAAAGGAGAATATGCAGAACTTAGCCTCGTGTCTTATATGTGCCTTACATGTCTGAACTTTAAAGGCGACATTTTTAGCAGTACTGGAGTGCCCTGGGTCTATTTATTTATGGTCATATCCATGTGTGCGTTTCTCCCCTGGTTTCTATATGCGTCATCTTGAAGCTCTCAGATGATAATTGTTGCATACTACACTGTGACTGCACGTCATCATCTTCAGTGGATGATTTGAAATAGTTTCATTTCTTTCATGCATGTATCAGTACATTCACCATTTCTTGCTGGAATATCGTTCTTGAAGAAAACTGTAGGGGTGAAGGATATTCAAACTCGGCAACTTATCGCTTGTCTCCGAATATATAAAGTATGTTTGTAACTGACAGAGCAAAATACATTTAGCATAAATCGAGGATGTAGCTTCTTGTGCTCCTTGAGGTCTTGGTGTCCAAGTTATGGACGGTTCGGATGCTCCCTTTTATAATATACCAGTTTCTGTGAAGGGATCAAGCGAAGGCTCGTTCTCAATTAGGTAAGGAGTATACGTGCTATCAATTACTATGCAGTAAGTGATCAATTGGATGCTAGATTAATCACATATGGAATACATCGTTTATCTTTAATAAAGAAATTGGCCCTTCAGCAAATTTAATGGTACTTAGTGTTTCACAAATCATGGAATAAGTCCTTGGAACACCAAGCTCATTTACTATTACAGTACATTGAAGACTCTGCAGGTACCCAACCTCTAATTTGGTCAGTTACAGTACATAGAAGTCTCTGCAGGTACCCCACCTCTAACCGGGTCTGTGCCTTCTTGATGGCTACAATGTTTGTACCTTTGCTTGTGATCAAACAGGATCAGTATAAAATTCGGCATGGTAAATACAGAGACAAGAATTTGCCACTGAGTTCCACCATAGGAAGTATAATAGTTACCAACTATTAACTTAGTTCCCAAGGGATAAAGCGCAAAATCAAGCATGCACATATCAATTTAAAAACCTGAAGAAAACCTCCCTATTTGTTCATAAGAATATCATGGGGAGCAATTTGCTAAATAAATTTATTGTGGTTAACGAATTCCCAAGTAAACAAAAGCCTGATGGTACTTTGTCACGACCACAATTTCCAAATCTTTAGGAACATTGGAGCCGAACTAAACATGTTAAATTTCTTCTTCCAAATTCTGCATTTATCAAATAACCACAAAAAATTCCATCAAAGAGAAATTCTCACGGTTACATGTATTCCAAAATTTTAACTAATTTCGAAACCTTTGTTTGACCTTCACCTCAACCCACAATTTACGTTTTATTAAAGATCAACCAATTTCCTAAATTCTCTCAAAAAATTTTGAGTCTCTCCAATCCATTTGATCCCGAGTCTCTGAAAAAGGTGAATAAAACACAATGAGTTCACCACTAAATAAGTGGATAAATCTATATGCTACACTAGTTTTACAAAAACTAAAAGGTATAAACCATCATAAAACAAAAGTAATAAAAACAGATTTATATGTAAGAGAAGTATCACCAAAAAGTCAAATTACCACCTTTAAATACAACGAATTAAAAATAATATTTTATGCA